GACAAAAAGCTAGAAGTGGAGTAACCGCAAACCCCTTACCTCTACCTCTGTTGTTCCCTGTTTAGTCGTTCCCGGCTTTATCCGACGGCGGTCTTCCATTGATCTGCTTGGCAAACATCATCAAGTCTCGACCGGCTCTGTCGCTAACATTTGGTGCCACACGAAGACAGATGTCGTACAAGCAGGTCCCTTCGCCTATTAGGTCGCTCTTATGCCGTCTCGTTACTCAGCTTGTCGCTGGGTTGCGTTGCAGGAGGCTCGTAGCATTTGACACTCGTTCTCTTGGTGCCGAATGAAGGCTGATCTGCCGCTGCTGATGCTCCCAGTAGTGCTTACCATCGGATTGGGGCTCTGCATGTTGCCAACAATGTGCAAGGCTCTAAACTAGCCTCGTTTTGCCTAACTTCATAACTTAACCAGTAGTAATTGTAGTTGATTTGGCGCTTTTTCAATCAGCGTGTTATTATTATTATTATTATCATCCTTAAGGGTTCGCTTATTTAGCCAAATATTTAACCAAATAAAATAATTTACATTAAAATTTAGCGCGGCAAGATGTTAACTGTTTGACGAACGTTGAAAAAAGCTCGTCTGTTATATAAAATTAATTCTCACAAACGAAAACCTGGTGAGCGGCTATAACGCCCATCGAATCGTACCTTTGGCCAAATTTGACCTAGTTCGAATATTCTAACATTCATAATGCAATCCAGTAGAAAGCAGCGACATGCTGGAGAGAAGGTAAAGCCGAGAACGGCGGGCAAAATAAGCCTTGAACGACACTTCCACTATGACATGACAGTTGAAGCATTCTACTCACCTAAGGCAAGGCCCAGCTGCCAGACCGCTTTACCGTGCTTCTGGGGCTCCCGCTGTGATCGTCTGCAATCTTGACACACAGCGACCCTTTTGCCCGGAGTATAGATACAAAAACGGGCCAATTGACCGAAACCAACAGGTTGGCGCCGCTTTGACCAAGGCTACGGCGCCATCAAGTAACTTGCCACGTCTGCCCAGTCTTTCAAAGGTTGGCCATCTCCATCTTCCTATACTATTTCCCCAAGGTGGGAGACAGGTGTGGCTGTTTCATGTAAGCGTTACTACTAGAGCGACACAACAGCGCAACAGGTGGCTCGAGGCCATCATTGTGCTTGGCCGGGTGTTCGTTCTTGAGTTTCTCAAGCTTTCCGTCACCCCATCCGTCGCCCCCAGGAATTCTGCCAAAAGCAACCGCGCTGAGAAACTAAGAAAGAACAGGCTGAGGCGTGTCGACGGCGCAGCTGGCTTCTCACTGATTTAACGGACGGATTCTGTAACCAACCCAATCAACTATTCGCGATGAACTGTCACAGCGCGGGCCAGACGGCAACACCTTTTCGAGCGAATATGAGTTCAGCAACGGTACGTCGTGAAAGGAATAGCTCAATGAGATTAAACTATTACGGTTAAAGCTCCGTCTCTATACCGACATTCAGGGAGGACAGTTCACTCTGTCACTGTGCTAATGCTAGAGATGCTAGGCGTATACGGCAGTGTTCGAGATTGTGAAAGGGGCCTAAAGATGACATGGGCCTCGAAAGTGGCGAGAAAGCTCGCCTTGTCAGGGATCCTCACTGTCATCACTGGGTTACGCGTTAATCTCATCAGTGACAAGTCACGCAATGAAGCCCCAGAGCCGAAGGAAGCTTCGAACCGAACTGAACGGCAGCTTCCTCTGCGTAGTCGAAAGGTGGCGGTGGAAGCAGCAGCGTCGGCGGCAGCAGCGGTAACAGTAGGAGTACTACTAAGCAATAACCTAAGGGTTCTTGTCGGTTCCGCCAACTATGAGTCCTCTCGTGTCACAAACAGGAGCCCCTGGCTTTGCCGCAGTAACAGCGTCTGTATCAACGGTACGTACAGCCGATTGGAAATACTGCGTATCGTGAGGTTGGAAGTTAGCGCGGACGCATGGGAAAGGCCTGTCCTACATGGCAGGGGCAAGGCATCGACGAGGAAAACGACGAGACCCTGCTTCACCGGAAGGCCCCAGAACCACATCCGGCCGTCAGGCGGCAACGGACAGATAAGGGTCGCCGACAAGACGTGATCTGCCTTTAAGACAAGAAAGACTTGTATGGTTTCCTCCTCAGCGAAACGCTACCTCGGCCGGATCAAGCAGGCGGACGAACGGAGCATAGGGCGATGAGAGAGCTACCGTTTCATACGAGAGACTCTAGGAAAGAAAATGTCTGAGAATGAAGATATGTACAGATAATCTCCGGCATAAAGAAGGGGGATTCCTTATGAGAGTTTAGAACTTGGTTTATCAGTGTAGGCCACTGACGTAATGGTCCTGCCTATGTCAGAGCGATGTCTCATCGTAATATAATGCCATGTTTATGCAACAAAACGAGATCACAAAACTGCTTTTTGACTGTAGCTTGATTTATTGATCATTTTTCAGGGAGTGAGGGTAAAATAGGGCTCTAAGATCTTTAGCAGTAGATGCCATAGTTGAGCGCTATATGACTGAATACTATGTTACCTAAGGTGAGCTGTTAATAAGTGATTATACGCAATCTATTGGAATGAAATACCTATAAAAAAAAAAGTGCAATAATTTGGCCCTTTATCTTTTAACATTTCGCGTGGACTTCGTACTACATCACTCGTACGTGGATAGTTTCAATTGTGTTTGTTCGTCAACCCTAATTATATCCACTAGCCAAATGCGGCTGAGAATATATATTAGGATTGTCTATAAAAATCAACTTAGATGAAAGTATCGAGTCGGATGTCTCTGTAAAAGAAATTATAGTCTTGTCAAGTATCGACGAGGCAGTAAGGACAGATACTAGCAGTAGTTGGATCTCGCGCATCCGTCCATCTATGGCTACCATCTATGGCTAACGATACTGTAAACGGCATGCTGTAAGCTATCAAAATTTACATCACAATCTACGTGTTTGTTTCAAATGACTGTTTTCCTAGTGTCAAGGCGTTGGTCAAGAAAGGTTTATGGGGTCACGATCAATACATGCCGGTTGATTTCTTCAACGTAGATGCTTACATAAAGGCGTCCGTCGCACGCAAACTTCTCGCTTTTCCACAGTGGCACCTATTTCTGCCTATTCGGAATACCATAGAGAACACTATCATCATCTCGGCCTATGCAAAGAAAGGATCTTTTGAATTTTTATACCTCTTGATGACTGCGAGTAACATATTGCTTTCGATACCTTGACACCTTACTATACCTAGTCTTCGATCCATGAGCGGATCTAGTATAAAATCAAGCTAAATAGCGGAATTTGAATAACAACATATTCAATTATATTATATAAACATAAAAAGGGGATACCTGATCTTAATAAAATTCGATTAATCCAACACTCATATGTAATCATGGAGTGATGAACTCATTAATTATTTGTCTCAAGCGGGCTACGGTAACTATTGCCATGAAGCTAATTCTAGCCACTCTGTTTTTTACAAGTCGAAGAAGAAGAGAAGAGGCTTAGGACTGCTTTAGGTTTTTGTGGATCATATGATTTTACTCACGTCCGCCTGAAACCTATTCTGCTTCCATATCGCTAACGCATAACGTATTCCAAATGGAATTTGTTACACCTTATTAGTGCGTTTTTACTCTTCGGCAGTCTAAAAAGTAACCCACTATGACTCTAGCATATGAGTTCCCCAACTCGCCATGTTCTACGATCGCTTTTTGTTTGACCAGTTAAAATCAACGACCGACAGGACGTGACTATAAAATATGGGGAAAAATTCCCGGCAAAGGATGTTTCACCGTATGCCAGAGCAACTTACTGCAATCCTGTTACTGTATGTGTCTTAACTGACCACACAGGCCTGTTTCCTTTGACGAGAAAATGTCATCTAAAACAGACTACGCGGGAGGCTAGCTACGGGGTAGCCCCGTCGAGCTCAGGTGGCCATAAACAAGTTTCATTCCTTGCCCTACTAACTTATCTTCGCTGTTCACTCACAACTTGCGTGCTAACCAACAGGTTCGAACACATTGTGTATGGTACACTCTATTGTATTACTTGTTATTAGGGTTTAACCAGTATAGTGGTACGATAAGATAGTTTCTTTATTTTCTAAAATGTCTGAAAGCTACACAGTTATTTGATCATAAACGAATATGTCGCTGAAACAATCACACGATTCCGCCTCCATTGATGTTACAGCAAGTTACTGTTGTTGACGGATGAAGTTGACTGGTCTAAGTGTAGAATGCGATTGAGCGTGCCGCGTGGGGTTAGCTTAAACACGAAAAAAAAAACGCTAACCGCCAATGGCAATCTACATACCGCATAAAGGCATAGAATAGTACTGCGCTCATTGTTGGAGTTAATAGCTTTCTTTGACTTACTAATCGCTAATGTTGACGCATACGAATACCGGACTCGAGGATCCTTATCAATCGATCTCACAATCGACAGTGGTGTCCTTTGTTTAATCAATATGTTTGCGAAATCTTTCGCGTAAGATGAAGTACGTTCAATTTGAGTAGCATATGCGAGCTTTAAAGCGAATTTATGAATTTATCGTATAGTCACGCGTGCTGCATCTAAATGATGTGATGTCCATACTTCACCCTCGATCGCCATCGTTCAATTACCTGGTGGTTCTCAAATCGACCAATTTCCGGATGAAGCCCTACAGCAAGTAGCAGCTCTTTCGCCAAAGTGACTGAGTAATGTCTATCTATACAAACCAATAGTCTTTGAACTCCGACAGCTCTCTCGTTTCCTCTGTCGAGAGTCACTCGCGTACCTCATATACGGATGCTTTCGCTGGTAATGTTTTCCCTTAACTTTCGTCGGCATAATATTTCCATCCCAGAAGCTCTCTACCTCCTTCCCCTACCGCCTGAGGACTATCTCCATATTGAGTTCCGTTTTGTTCAGCTCTCCATAGTGTCGTTTCATTCACCAACTGGCTAAAGTTGTCTGCTTGTTTATGTTTGTCTCTCTCTTTCTCTTTCCCCCTTGCAGAGAAGTGCGGCAGACGGGCCAGGGCTTCTCCATCGGATCAGGATCGACGGAGCCCCTCTAAGTCAGCCAAGCTAAGCCCGCCAGCGGAGTAAATCCGATCGTAGCGATCAAAACGTAACCAGTTCTCGACGGCGTGAGCTAGCGAGTAGCTGAGAGTCTGGGAGGAGCTCACTTTTCTCGAAGGAAGACACGAAGCAGAGACACAGTTTGTCTGGCTTCCCAACGAGTGCTATTCTCGGGTAGATCGCCCGACAAACGCTCCGAACCCCTATTCCGATCTTTTGCGGCCGCCGCCTATACAGCCAGCAAGCACTGTTTTGCAAACACACATCGTAATTTACAGAATAGTACACACGAATAAATACATACGTACACAAAAGCTCGCGGGCACAAACGCACCGAATTCCGTGACGTTCAAGCGACACACTTCCAGCTAACGTTGGATTTCGCGACTATTTTAATTGAATCCTGCCGGCATCCGCTTCGACTCTAGCGATCTAGCGTTATCCCACCCGTTCTCCCCGTTTAATTAATTGGAGGCAGTGGCAGTAGCTATAAAAGTAACAGTAAAAATTGTAGTAGGAAGCTCTAACGGCAAGCAGACTCTTCTTATGCAGTTCTATTCAACAAAAGACTACGTCGTAACCAGCTATCCGTCACAAAAACACTAGGTTCTTGTCATAAACCACCAGCTTATTTTCTAATTGGCAACGGAACATCGATTTTTATAATTTTTTCAGAATATATTTCCGCACCGAATTACAATTAGAAATTAATTAAAGTTTGCTACCTATTGGCATTGTGTTGTTTAATTAACTTTAGGTTAATTCATTGCTTACTAACCACCCATTACAGTTCACTTCTCAATACTCAAAACGAGGTCAATAACTTCACAAAATCATATTATACAAATATACAATCAACATCTCCATTCAACTAGGTTTAGACAATCTTACAAAAAAGCACCAGGTCGACAAGCGACTAGGCAAGTATCGACTTAGTATTCCTGTTACCTGTGTCAACCTTCCACTATTTATAGTGGGTCGAGTTGCGTTTGGTTTACCTCAACATCTTACATCCCCGAAAAGCAATGATGTTTAGCAAAAAAAATATAGTGTGACCAAACAACAGTCGAAACAAAAGCGTCGCTTCTGCTAGTGTCGTTCAGCGCTTACCGAGAAGAATCTCGACGGAAGTACAGCCCCGCGCCCACAGGCTGGCTTCGACCGTTGAGAAAAACTGGGTGGGTCGACCAACAGCGGCGCGCAAAAGCTCGAACGAGCGCAGCGCCCCCAATATTACTTCGCTATAAAAAGGTTAGTAGTGAAGATATATATATATATATATATATATATGTAATGCATATATAGTTAGAGCTCTGAAAACCTGCTTTTGCTAATGCTAAAAGTAGTCTAGCTAACTGACCAAGATTGGCTTTTTAAACCATTGCTATTATTAGCAAATAACGGTACAGGTCGGGAAAAGCTAACTACAATATTCATTATACCCTCAAGAGCGATATCGCGGAGCAAATATTTAATGCACCGATAATTATCATCTATATTCTTCACCTAAAAATACACAAAATTCAGCCTGCGGTAACACAGGATTTGAATTCAGCTGTATTTTACAGTTAGCACTGGCAAAATCGTCAGTATCATAACGGCAGGCAAATGCGCCGCTTTCTAGATTGTAACGGCCTGCTTCCTTCTGGACTGAGATACGAAAACGAGATATAGACACCGTTCGCCTTAATCCTACCGCTGCTACTAGCAGTCCGTGTGCGTCGAGGGCACCGCTTAGCGCCTAACGAACCACGCCCGTGGCCACCTGCACCCAGCACTGGCCTCGTCGATATTCCCGACTGGATTTCCTTGTATTGCTCTTGCTTGCTTCGAAACAGAGGAAAAGTGGCAGCAGCAACAAACGGCGACTCATCTTTCCTTGCCTCAGGTTCCAGACTATTATGGCCTCTGACATATTCTGATACATCCGACTGGCTAGTGCGTGAAGGTGGGTCTGTTGTACGAACATAGCGCGAACGATTGCCAGCCTTAATATGCAGGGTGCACACGACTCATCCAGGCAAACATAGTACTGAGTGTTCTGATGTGTCAGCTTTCAACAACCCAGCAATGGCTTACGCATGTTCAGATCGAGAAGCAACAGTATTTGCCAACAATGAAGAAGTAATGCCAATGGGAAGAGGAGCTTGAATAGCAGTAGTGAGTAGGAGTATCACGCTACTCGGCGACAACCCGGGTGTAAAGTCAGCCATCAGCCCTTTGTTTTTTCCCTTGCGCCTAGCGAGCTATTCTTTTTGACGCGACCTTTTCCTGAAGTCTACTTAAGAAGTAGCTTAATGTCCTGCTCGACCTGCATAGACACGTAGTACTAGGATTAAAAGAGTGAAGGAGAGCAATCTGTGATCGCAGAAACAATACTGTCCTATTACACAAGGCTCACGGATAGCAAATCGAATATTTATAGGACCTATTCTACAAAGGAAGAATATTCTAATAGAAATGTTATCGTTTCGAATATTTACTTGCAGAGCTGTTTTGTTTTCGTATATCGTTCTATTCTCGATAGCAATCTCTTAACGGCGCCAAAGCAAGGTGCGCTCCTGAATTCCTCTCGGATGCAACGATCTCGCTCCTTCTTGAATCCTCGTGATTTCGTTTACACCAGCAATAAATTATAGTAACGCGATCAGGCGCTGCATGCGGTCATTGTTACCTGAAGCTTTTTCGTATTGTAGACGGAAATTGCTTTGTGGGGCACGCGTGATGTGTATCGCGTAACTCGTTACGAGCTAATGTGAAGACACCGGGCAACGAGTAGTTGGCTTCGTATCTGGCCGGCCATAAGATACGTACATTGGAACAGATACGCCCGCAATATGCCTATACAGCCATCGATCTGAAACAGCCGCTTCCTGGGCAGCAGAAAAACATATAATAAATGAAACACACCATCAAAATCTCGGCTTTTTTTATATTCAATAGAATCATGTTATGTGGTATCCGTTATTGGCAGCTGTGATATTTGAATCGGTTCCCATAGAAACGATATAATGTGGTAGGTGTTTAAGCATCCAACTGTATATAGAATCCGAAAGCGAACTCATCTATTTCGAAAAAAGGAAAGAGTAACTTGCCCAATAGTGTAGGTTTAGCGGTGCACAGTTTTCAAGCAATGGGAAGAAATAGACCATTTGCATCTCTAAATGAGGGTGTTACTATAATATTTGGCTTGTCTTAACCATACGAATAACGATTCAACTATAAATCCAATTACAGCCTGTTAATTTAAATCGATTTGGGATATTAGGGTAATGTTTTCGACACAGATCGATTTAACGCAATAATTTAGCAGCTTTATTATCCAGTAGGCAACAATAACACTGCTACATTCAGGCCGTCGGACGCAACAACTACCACGTCGTCCTATTACCGTCAGAAAACCGTAAGCGTCGATTGAGGTTTGGCAGTTTGAGCCATGTGAAGAAAAACGCATATCGTGAATTCTACGCCATTTTCATAGGTGGCTATTGAGCCGACCGGGTATGTATTAAATACAATACGTTTCTTATAATAGGGCTAGCCGTAACGGAAGCGTACAGAAGCGAGGCAAGGGGGGCTCTCAATTGATAAAGCAAATAATAGATCGACCAGCGCGTAAGACGGCAAAAAATTGCACAGGGAGGAACCATATCTGTCGTTGGATCAATACAATAGCTTGGTAGTACGGCTCAGTTCTTGACGGATTTACGTGAATACAATGGCAATTGAAGCAGAGATATATACATGTCAGCGACAACTCTGTCTCTCACAGTTGAAAAAATAAAGGGTCCTCAAGCCAGTGATTACATTACACAACTGTAATCGCCTTGTGTTATTTCATCAGCTGTAAGTTAGCTACGACCAACTTAGCTATAATTGTCAAAAGCATCCCATCATCGATAACCAATTGAAAACATGCTTCGCTGCCAGTCATGCACCGTTTTTCAAATTATGCTGTCTGAACAACAACTCTCTGTTTATCCATTCTCTGTCTTAGACTTCATAATACCTCGATGGATTTAAAACGCGGAACAAATTCACTGCGTCAGCGATTCTACAACCGCAGTACCGTAATAACACCTAAAAATTCATTAGTCATAAACCTAATATCAGGTCCTTAACATAAACCTAATAGCAGGTCCTTAACATAAATGTATGCTAAAGTTTTTAACATCGAACAAGTGCAGCACTGCTATGTTGAGACAGGACAACGTCTCCTTCCATGCATCATCAATCCACAAACGCGTTAAGCTAGTCTTCCCATCATATTTCCTTAAATATGAAGAAAGCCTAATGTCCCGTTCGGTGTAAAATCGTTCATAGCTTCAGCCGGCGGATTCAGATAGCAATTGTGCTTTTATAATTGTTCTTTTTTTTATCATTGAACTATTATCATGGCAGAGGCTACCGTTATCACCGCCCCTTCACCCCTCCGTCAGCCGCTGATTTATTGTCGTGTCACTGTTGCATTCCGACAGCGCATTGGCCGCTCAGAGAAATCTCGCCTGTTAACCCTGCGCGTTGCTCTCCGCTCTCATACACGGCCAACTTTTTGCACTGCGATGTACAGTGAGACGTGTATGTGGACGCGCACGGAATAATAGCTACTATTGCCACTGCCGTTATTGCGACTTCTCTGCAGCTTCTGCTGGCACGGATATATACCACAATCTCCGTGTAGTAGTAGAACATCGCTGACAGGCCACGAGTAGACCACGAACTCCAACAGACACATGATGACGCCTCCACGAGCCGGCATATAGGTTAAGCGAGCATGTAAATGTACCGCTAACATGTCGCATTGTACGGGGGCAATCAGATAGGAGTGTTAGAAGGTCCAAAACGAAGAAACATTGCCGAGTCCAGGGTAGTCTAACAAGAAGAAACGAATCGCACCACAACAAGTATTGAGTGTTGAAGCGGGCATAAATTGTTTCGACTTGGTGGGTCATTGCGTGCCCACGCGGCCGTGTGGAGGATTCGGACGTACTTGGCGCCATCGCACCATTTCGAAAGAACAAAAAGGGTAGGAAGTAACAAAGGACGACGACATCGAGAAACACAAAAAACGCAAGAGGAGACGACAGTAATGGCAGAGGCAACAGACCCTGAGAAAGAAATGGGACTGAGTGGTCCGTCGAGGCTCGGGTGTCTCGGGTGCTTTGTTGATAGTAACGGCGGTGATGGATACTGATCAATTAGCCAACGGCAAATCATACCCAGAATATAGACAATGGACTGTGGCAAGCGGGACCGACGCGAACGGCAGCGTCTACATGCAAGCGCAAAGTAGAGAAAGACACAACGGAGACGCTACACGTGTAAATGCACGGATGATGCAGGCAATGTTAAAGCACGTAGGTCTAGCTCTAAGGATCTTAGATGGGGAAGTGATTAGCGACTTCAGTGTACGTTAATTCATAACAGATCGTCATGTAGCTTAATAATTGCCATTTGTACACTACTTGGACCATAAGTAATATTCACTTTGTGAGACACGGGTTTTTTTCGGTCAAATTGAACGCTTTCACGCGGGGAAGCGCCAATACTGAGAACCATCATCATTGAACAATATCATTAAAATCCTTTAACATGAAATTCAATACACTTTGCCAAAATGATAGAGGAGCTTTTTTTCATCAGAAAGAGACTCCTTAGCTTCTAAGAAGGAGTTTTGTACATAAATCCGCATAAAGAAACATTATTTAGTCCAGTGCGATCTTCGTTTCCGCAGTCGAAACCGCGCGGTGACGGATCTATTAACAGTTACGTTTTTCAGGAACTTTAAAAGCTACGAAGTTTTTCTTGATCGACGTACATTTGCCAGTGTAGATATCCTGTGCACTGCTTCGATTCATTGGTTATTCTCCGCCTCACATTTCAATTATATTTGACCGTTTGTTTTTGTAGTAGCTAATTGACTTGCTTACTCACACATGTACATGCAAACCCATAATGTGCACAGTGTGTGGTTCACATCTGGTAAACTACTGGGCAAGATAAGCGTACGAACCTCTACATAAACACGTAATTGTTAGTATTCGGTGAAAGCCATTTATTTAGGTGAACTAGTAAGTATACATTGGCCAAATATGGTAGGAGTGATGGGAATGACAAGTTGGTGCTGTTCATTCAGAAAGCATCACCCTTTTCTTTCAGTGACGCTGTAACATTCGCACATGCTCATCCACAGAATATTATCAATTTTTTTTTTTTATTTATAGCATTCCGCAATCTTACGTCGTATGTTT